CGTGCAAGTACAACATCAAGATGCACAAAGGCATTCTTGGTGTTAAACTGGATGAACTGTTGTGTGAGTTCATGTGGAAGCACAATACTGGGAAAAGAATGGGCTTGATAGCATTATTTGAGCTTCTTAGGATCCAATAAATCACTCTAATTCATGTTTTTATTTTTACTAAGAAAACTCCATGGGGAAAAAAAGGGACTTGATCTAAAACTCCATGGGGAAAAAAAGGGACCTTAAAATCCGATGGGGAAAAAAAGGGACCTTAAACTGAAATGGGGAAAAAAAGGGACTTGATCCAAAATAATTTACAATTTATTGACTATTATCTTTCTTCCTGTTGATCAATCCATCATTCAGTGGAATTGTTCGATCAAACATTATGGCACTTTTGGTTGTTACATCACCTCTCAACTCAGTTCCATTCTGATTGCTTTCACTGCTGAAACTAAAAATGTTTTTGAATGTACTGATTTTCTGATCACTTTTATCAGGAAAACAATATTTCATCATTTGATCTTCATGTCTTAGTTTCTGGAGTGTTTCCTTACATTCTTCTGCATCAAATACCATTTTGCGCCTGTTTTGCCTACATTTGGGTACAGTTGTTTTTGTGCTGGCGTAGTTGAATAATCCCCTTGTTTTTAAAACAGGAAACTCTTTCAAATATTTCTCGTATAATCTACCAATGCTGCTTTTCTCACCGCAACACAGCTTCATTTCCTCCACATTCTTAGAACTGTAAATCACAATGTGATATTTGCCTAGATCTGTTGCCAATGAAAATGTCTTTTTGCAGAGTGCACCATTCATCTCCTTGTAGAGTAGAAAGCACCCATACACTCTTGATGGTGTCCACTGTCTCCTATCTGTCCATCTCCTGATTTTGGTATCATCTTCATTGTAGATGTAAATCCGGTTCTTATTAATCTTAGCACATGAAATGTCCTTTCTGTTATGCACTGATGGAATCAGGTTCTCAGCAGCCAATGCTATGATCATCAGACACTCGTCATGCGTGTGTACACATCCAGGTATGAAAAGCATGGCCATATCAAACAATTTTTTATAAACAAAATAAGCTTAAATTAATGATCAATGGTATTTGTTTATTAGTTAAGCTTATTTAGACTTAAACAATCACCTAATTACATTTTTCTTGTTGAACCTTATTGGATATTCAATCTCTCAAATATTTTGTACTCAACACATTCTATAATACCCATGGCCATATAGACAGTATCCAAGTATCTGGTAGAAGTATTTTACCTTATACAATTAGTAAAGTAGATCAACTAGCACATTCATCAGAATAAGCGTAATTTGACAAATTTTACCCATGGAAGATAAAGCCACTAAAGAAGTTGTTTTAGACAAAAGGCAGCAAGCAATTCTTGATAAGTTCAGTCCACTGAACCCAGAGAGACTTGACGCATCGCATGTTTCACTGGGATGCAAACAGGAGGTCTTCGATGTCCGGGACTGTGTCGTATACAAACTGCCCAACATGAATTCATGGCTCATATTTGGCCACGTACAGAAGTCGATGTCCTATGAACAGATCCAAGAGATGATTGGAAAGCACCTGGGAGAAGCACCAAAAGTGGAAGAGGAGCCAGCGACAGAGGAAGTGAAAGAAGAAAGCGGATCCAAAATAAACGAGGTTGATGTTGATTTGATCATGGAGCAAATGAAGTGCAACAGAGAGGAGGCCGTCAAGGCATTGGAAGAAAACAACTACAATTTGGTATCAGCTATGATTGCTATGCAGAAATGAATCAACTTTTTATTACTGCAATAAGACACCTATCATTCTTGAAGAATGCTCTTGTTTTCAGTGCATGGCAATTTGATGGTTCCAATTCAAGAACCATTGATACAATTGATGGCTCATCAATCTGCTTGAATGAATATTGATTCAGATTTAGAGTGGCTTCTGCCATACTTCCCTCACCTTCTTTTTTACCTAAAATTGTATCCTGGTTAAACGGCCCATTGTAGTCCAATTTGACACATTTGGTCCAATTCACAGCAACTTCTCTTTCTCCAAAGACTATTCTTCCCTTAAATGGCTCCATAAAGATGATTTTAGCATATTCCTGGTGCAATTTCAGGTAAAATGCCTCTTTTTTCAGCGCGTTTACCTGCAACAACTCCCAATACGCCCTGTTTCCTGGATCAATTGCAACCATTTTGGACACGTTGGTGCATTTGAGTGATGATGGATTCATCAGATCCATTTCGTAGGAGTATCCATTGCTTCTTGAATAATTCCAACAATGAAAGTTTCTTGGATCCATTTCAAATAGTCTCTTACACAGCTTGTAATCCCTCTCCTTGTTTATGTATCTGTAAATGTACTTTCTATGATTCCATACAGCATAACTCTTACAATTGTTCTGAATTCCAGTTATGGTGATACTGTCTTGACTCAAGACGTATTTCTTCTCGAAATCACTCACATCTTCCAATTCATCATTTTCCAACAGATTCTTGTACTTGGAATATTTTTGATCCATTTTGTAGTTCAACTCTCCCTCCAATTTCAGCATAAACAGCTTCAGAATATTCCAGGCAAACTGGTGTTCTGGATTCAGTGACGCCAACAGACTCCATTTGCTGAACACCTCTTCCACTGTGTTTTCATCCATTTTGCATACTGCAAGATACTCCTTCAATTCTTCATCTCGTTCAACTTCTTCTTTTACACCGTGTTTGATCATTGGGCTAAAAATCATCAACTGAAAATGGTCGTCTTCTCCTTTTCACTCACAAACAGCTCGCACCTGTTTGGATTCCACCGGATATTCGAATATCTGCCGTCTATTCCGTAGCATGGTACAATATTCTTACTGATTTTGTTCATTCTGTACACTTTCACCTCATTAATGAACAATACACCTATCAAATACTCAGTCTCTCTCTCATACACCGATATTCCTCTTCCGATGCCACCTGTACAGATTTCACTGATCACCTTCTTATTATCAATACACACTATTTTCTTAGTGTTGTTGATTGCAAAAATATACCGTCCAGCCATTGTGAAGTCCACTACGTAGTTCAAGAACGTGTAATCCGCCTGTTGAGACTCCTCAATTCGTGTTATTCCATTCGTAGTGCCAATCAATATGCATTGATTCATGCATTTTACTTTCAACAAATTCTCTTTCTTGAATCTGTACAAAGCAGTTGGTTTCTCGATGCTATCATTCTCATAGACTTCCATTCTGTGTTTATATAACACAATCAGCCTATTACCATCCACATCACAATCAATGACATTGCTGAGGAGTTCCTTCTCTTTTTTGTACAGTATATTGTTCAATAAGGTGTACTCAAATGCCCTTGTTTTCATCTCATCACTCAGCCTATTTCCATATATTATGTCATAGATCTCACCATCATACGTTCTAACCTGCCCATTTCTCATCTCTGATATTCCAAACTCGAATTGTCCTGATACTCCCAAATCAATTCTGTCTGATTTGTATTTGATTATTTCTTCAACTGAAATACTCTTTTCCACTGGTGTTCTATACTTGTTGGCTATTTCTTCCAATAATCTCATGTCTTTAGTCTCCAAATCCTCTACTCTTCCATTGTACTGTGCTGTTAGATCGTAAACCCATTCTTGCTTGTAATCTGATAATTTCTCACCAGCATAAATATCGTATATTTCCTCTTCAATCTCCTTTCTCTTCCCAGTCCACTTCCTTTGATACTTTTCCATGAATCTTTTCTCATACAACTCCTTATTGTAGTACTTATCTCGTTTCTCAAGGACTGGTAGATCCTTTTCATCTACTCTAATTTCCACGTGTGCCAATTTCGTACCAGATACATTCTTACACTTCCTGTATACTCTAACCATCATAATGTCATCCTTGGTTATTTTATACCTCTTGTTCTGCACTCGAAGTGTCCTCTCATTCTTTTTCACTCTCTTTCCAAGAAAGCTGTTTATTCGATCCATCCTGGGCAACAAATTTCTTCCTAATTTCCCCTAAAATTTATGAACTTCTTCTGTCTCATTCCTACGATGCTCTCTGAAGAACAGCCCCTCACCTTTGACTCACTTCCAAGCATATGCGAAGTAGTCATGCTATACAAATCAAGCACACTCTATATCACACTAGATACAGACAATATTGAAAGAGATAACCTGTTAAAACTCTCAATTGGACTAATAATACGCAATAGAACCAACACAAATGTGATAATATTCAAGGACAGGGGCTTCAGTGGAACACCTCTGTCCAAAACAGCGTTACACGAGAGGTACAAGGATATTGCAACAGAAAATGAGAACACAATCAACTTCGTAATCAAAACACGATCTTCTCTTGGAATTACACTAAAAGACTTCAAAATGAACCGAGATGATGAGTTGGAGGTTGTTGCCCAGTATAATGAGTACTTCATGTACTTTGATGGAGTATACGACTACTACGACCTGGTAGACCCACCACAACATGATACAGCCGTAGAAATAATAGCTGGAATACTCTCATTGGTCTACTTGCTGGTGCTATGGATTGGAATACTGATAAGAGGAAGGAAAAAGGGCACAATCCAGTCAAACTAACAGGTGCCTAACTAACTTATTTCAGGCTGTTTTACTTTTGCTTAAAATTTTACCCTAATGCAGGTGTTCGTGAAGACACTCACAGGAAAGACAATCACACTTGAGGTTGAATCGAGTGACACGATTGAGAATGTGAAGGCGAAGATACAGGACAAGGAGGGCATTCCTCCAGACCAGCAGAGGCTGATATTTGCTGGCAAGCAGCTTGAAGACGGTAGGACACTGAGTGACTACAACATCCAGAAGGAGAGCACGCTCCACCTTGTTTTGCGACTTCGTGGTGGTAAGAAGAAGAAGAAGAAAGAGTATCTGACACCGAAGAAGGTGAAGGTGCCTAGGACGAATGTAAAGCAGCGCTACTTTGAGATGTTTGCGGTTGACAACGACGGGAACGTGACAACGAGCAGGGAGACGTGCCAGAAGTGCGGGCCTGGCTTCTTTGTCTCCAAGAACGGCCACTGTGGAAGGTGCAAGTTGAATGAGAAGATGCAGGCTGAGATAGCACAATAGCAGTGTCTAACTACAATTGCACTTCTATTAGGGTATAACTCCATCTACCTAACTAACCACTATAATTACAGTTTCAACTACCACTTCTCTATTCACCCTATTAGTCGATATTTACTAAATTTTACTCATCTACCATTTTATAGCCTAAATGCACATTCTCAAAATAAATGGAATCACAATCGAATTCCCGTACGAGCCCTATCCTGCACAGGTTGCCACGATGACCACTGTTCTGCGATCATTCATAGGCAACAGCGCCTCTCTGGTCGAATCACCAACTGGAACTGGTAAGTCTCTTGCCATTCTCTGCGCATCACTCGCATACCTAACTCACCTGAGCAATAACACGCCTGAAAAGAGGCTGAAACAGAGCGATCCCAGTGATTCAGGAACCAATCTGCCTAAAATCTACATTTGTAGTAGAACTCATAAGCAAATAGACCAACTCATAGGGCAGTTAAGAAAGACGAATTACAGTACCAAAATAGCTGTACTTGGATCCAGAACGCAGTACTGCATCCACAGGGACGTAAAACACGCCACTGACGTAAACACAGCCTGCAGGGAGGCAGTGGAGAACAAGAGGTGTCTCCACCGCCACAGGGTGAGTGCCCTAAGAAAGAGACTCGGAGACGTCTACGACATTGAGGAGATACGGAAGGAGGGAATGAGATGCGGTGGCTGCCCGTACTACGCATCACGTGAGCTGGTTGAGGAGGCATCGGTTGTGTTTGCGCCGTACAATTACGTCATAGACCCAAGCATACGATCATCGATGGATATTCGACTTGAGAGGGCCCACGTCATCGTGGACGAGGCGCACAACGTGGAGGACGTCTGCAGGGCGGCTGGCTCGCTCGAATTCGGCAGCAGAAGCATCGACGGATGGCTGATGGAGCTGATTGGCGCCCTGAAGAAGGCCGAGCTGCTTGAGAGCGAGGACGAGTCGACTGGAATCCGATTCAGGGAGCACTTCTCGTTTCTGGCCCAGCTGATGAGGTCGTTCAAGGGCAGTTCGTTTAGGACGAACCAGAAAACCAGGGACTTCGCCTACAAAATGAGCAAGGGCGGTGAAATCAGGGCGGAATTGAAGAAGGCGGGAATTGGGGCGGACGAGCAGGGGCGACTGAGGGAGGCAGCCTCAGCGGTGGCTGGGTCCGAGAGGGCGAAGCAGCTCCTGAGCCAGGGGCTGCTTCGGATGATCGAAAGCCTCGACCTGATTCTCCAGAACGTCCTTGTTTCTGGGCGAGAGCGATGCTACGCCTTCGTCTTCAAAGTGGTCGAAAGAGGCCCCTCTTCGACCGAGTTCGCCTTCTGGCTCCTCGACCCCTCTCTCGTCTTCCGCCCCCTCGTTTCAACCTGCCTGTCCATCACGCTCCTCTCTGGGACACTGGCGCCCTTCGACTCGCTCTGCCTGGAACTATCCCACTCCTTCCAGAACAAGGTCGTGGCTCCCCACATCCTCAGCAGCGACCAGGTGTTCGTGGCAGCCGTGAGCCACGGCCACCAGGGCGCCGAGCTGCTTGGGACGTACGCCAACTCGGAGAAGCCGCTCTACCTGGAGCAGGTGGCGTCGATCATCGGTGACGTGGCTGGGCGAGTCAGGCCACACGGTGGGACACTCGTCTTCGTCCCAAGCTACCACTTTCAGAGGAGACTGGGATCACTGATCGAGGAGGCCGTCTTGGAGCCACAGGGCGCAGACAGGTTCGAGGACGCCCTCAGGGACTACAAGAGGAGTCTCGCGACCACGGCACCAGCAACGATGATCTGCGTCTACAGGGGAAAGGCAGCAGAGGGAATCGACTTCAGGGACTCGTTTGCCAGGGCTGTGATTCTGGTTGGTGTTCCGTATCCATCGGTCGTGGATCCACAGGTGAAGGTGAAGAGGGAGTTCAACGACTCCCTCGGAAACGGATTCAACGGGTCGCAGTGGTACGGGACACAGGCGATGCGTGCGGTGAACCAGGCTCTGGGGCGAGTGGTGCGCCATCCAGGAGACTGGGGATGCGTGTTCATGCTCGAATCACGATACAGAAATCAGCAGATGAAGAGGCAGCTGCCAGGGTGGATTGGGCCATTTATGAGGGAAGTCAGCAGATACGAGAGAGTGGTGGATGAGTTCAATGGGTTTATTGAGAAGAGTAGTGTGAAATACGGTAGTGATAATAAGACAGTATTGGATAGATTCATTATAGGAGAGAATAAGACTAATACCAGGAAGGGTGACTCAACTGGTAGGGATGATTCATCAGAGAAGACTCACCGTAATAAGTGACTCAATAATAAGTGACTACTATTATAAGATAATTTTATTATAAGATAATTTATTGGTGACTACCACTATAATAACTATTACTACTCCATCAACTCATACATTGTCCTAATGAATCCATTCTTGTCTTCTACTGGGAATCCACATCCAATAGCAGTTGACTGCCATAGGAATCTGACGTACTCTTCTACCTTGGTCGCATTCTTCTTATCAAACTCACCCTTGATCTTCTGAATGAACCTGTTTTCTGGGTTGATTTCAACAATCTTCTTCTGCCCATCGAGCATCTGTAGCATCATGTTGTGCTCAGTCGATGAGTTGGCCTTGAGAATCGTCTCCATTGTTGGGGTGTATCCGTACTTGGTGATCAGGATGGAGGCAGGGACTCCCTTGAATCTCTTGCTCACAATCACCTTCTCAACCTGCTTCTCGAGAATGCGTACGATCTCCTTGCTGAAGTCAGCGTAGCCATCAAACTCCTCTGCCTTGGTCTCAGTCCCATCCTCGCCCAGAACACCCTCTTTTGCGATATTCTGGAATTCAAGGCCATTGTGACTCCTATAGCCCTGAAGCATGATTTCATCAAATGGATCACCCATCAGTAGAACAGTTCTGTCCTTGAATCCATCCAGGTAGATGCTTGTCTCAGCCTCCTTCTGAGTCAGGGCAGTCTGAACCAGAATCTGCTTCTCTTCCTTTCCAATTCTGTTGCAGTACTCGTTCAGACTGATCTTCTCTGATGGATTCTGATTGGTTGGATAGCGAAGAAACTGCGCAAATGACGTCTGCACCTGATCAGTGGTGTCCTTCACTGCCAGCTTCAGGTTTCTGCTGAATTCAACCACAAACTTATCGAAGTTCTCCTGACTCAGATTCTTGATCATCGTGGCAATGCATTTTGGTAGGCGAGTTCTGAGTATTTTCAGGGCTGTTTTACCCTGAAGGAATTCACGAGAGATGTTCAGGGAGAAATCAGAGGAGGAGACAGCGCCAACTACGAATCCCATCCACTCCGGGACCACGTCACGGGGCAGCACGTCTGTGATGAAGACGCTGCTGTTGTAGATCTGGATGTTTCTTGCCTTCTCGTCCTGTTTCTGGAAGAAGTTCATTCTCTGCCTCTTTGGGATGAAGAGGAGCACTTTCACCCCCACAATCCCCTCAAGGTGAAATGACTCAGCTGCCAGGTAGTCATCGTAGTCACCTGAAATCTGCTTGTAGAACTTCTTCAGGTCTTCTTCAGGGATATCAGAGATCTTCTTGTTCCAGACCTCAACATCGCTATTCGCAATCTTCATCTCCTTCTCTTTGATTTCATCCACCTTGTCCTTCACCTCTTCAACTTCCTCTACGTCTCCATTCTCTTTCTCCTTCTTCTCAGGCTTCTTCTCGCATTCAACAGCAATTGGATACCGAATGTACATCGAATGCTTCTTGACCAGCTCAATCAGCCTGTTTGAATCAAGGAATTCGTCTTCACCGTCTTTCAGTCGCAAGTAGATGGCTGTTCCGTGTTTGCCATCAAATGAGTCGCATTCTTCAATTGTGTAGCCAGATGAGCCATCTGACGACCAGACGTAGGCGGAGTCGCGAGGGCTCTTTGTGACGACATCTACGCGCTGAGCCACCAGAAACAGCGAGTAGAAGCCAAGGCCAAACTGCCCAATCAGGTCGTCGACCTGGGCACCAGCCTTGTTCTGCATCTCACGAAACAGGGCTGTTCCACTGGCTGCAATGGAACCAAGGTAGTTTCGGAGATCGTCCTTCGTCATTCCAATTCCGTTATCACGGATCACCAGCGTACGGTTGTCCTTGTCTGGGACAATCTCAATCTTCAGGGCGTTGTAGGCCACCGTCTCGTAGCCCTCCTTGTCAAACTGCGCCTTGGAGTCAAACAGCTTTTTGCAGGCGTCAGACGCGTTGCTCACGGCCTCCCTCAGGAAGAGGTCCTTCGAGGAGTAGACGGAGTTGATGAACATCGACATCAGCTGCGGCACTTCGACGCCAAACTCGTGCTTCTCAGGCTTCTTGTTCTCGTTTCTTATTGCTTCAGACATATGGGCTGAAAAATTTGGAGATTTATGCTTAATGGTGTTCTAGAACACAAAATGGGCAAAAATGTGTTCTATTTGATTTGTAGGCGAAATCACCAAATTGTTTGGAAGAGCCCACTAGATGCACGAGGGGGACGAGGATGCGGGATGTGTGATCAGAATCACGGACGAGATGGGAATAGTGATAGACGAGGTGGCCGGAGAGACGCCGGAGACATTCACGCTCTATGAGTTCAGGCACCTGGTTCGGAAGTATCGGGAGCGAAACAAGGACTTCCTGGTGGCACGGGTGAGGACGCGTGACGGAACAGGACACCAGTACAACTCGTACTACGTGGCAGGGGAGTTCAATCGGGAGCTATTCAAGTACGACAACTATCAGGCACTCCTTCACAGAATGAACATCAAGAATCCACTAAACAACCTGTTCATAAATCCACCTGTCGAATACTATCGGATTACGGTAACAGAGGTGGACGAAGCATCGGACAGAGGCAGACTCGATCGGCGGGACGAGATATCGGCTCAGAGCATCGATGGCGAGCCAGATGGTGGTATAAAGCCAGACCAAAATGCAAACAAACAAATTGTGTATGAAGCCAGGTATTTCGCAGATGAAGACGACTTCATGAACAACAGCGATGTCAGGGAGTATTTCAAGGAGAACATGTACAGCTGCTCTGATGAGTTTCTGTACGACGTAGACTACACCGTATCAGACGAGTACTCCCAGACTGATCTCACTGCAATCATTTGGCAGATTATTCTGACGTGTATGATGGCCATTCTGGCTATCGTATTCTGCGTAATCACGGCCGAATACGAGTTGGCGATGCTGATTTCGTTCATATTCGCAATGCTCCTCTTTCCACTCATTCTGGAACTGCGATATCACCCACCTGAATAGTTTCAGTTTTATTACATAATCAGTGGTTTATTTCCCTAATTTGCCCATTTTCCTGTATTTCGTATCTGACACCCAATTCAGGAAATATCACGCTGTTTCCAATCACAATATGACTGTTCTTGCTCATTATTGCAGTCATCCAGTGTTCTGTCTGCTCTACAATGTGCTGAATCTCATTCTTTTTATAGAAGTCAGTTATTTTCAGGATGCCATGCAAATAGAGGCTGTTTCCATGCAACAGTGTGTGCTCATCCACCAATAGATCTATTTCGGTTATTTTTGTATCAATTTCTACTCTTTCTGCATTCACAAATACCTCTTTTCTTTCTTTATATTTTCCGTAGTCATCTTCTATTTCATTTACGGTTGCCTCCATTTTGATCTGGAAATTGATGCATTTCTTCCTATCCAATTCACCAACTGGCCTATTGAAACAGGCAACCTGCTGTGTTCTGAATATCTCTGGTATCTTCTCGTGTTTTCCTACAAAAATGATCTTCTGTTTCTCAGTGAAGGCGTAGTTCAGGTTTCTGATGTGCTTGAAAAAGCGATATTTTTTGAATGGAAATGGCTCACTATCGCATTGTTCCCTGAGCCATTCACTCTGATTGTTCAATTGGGCGTATATTTTGTCAAATGCATGGGAGACAATGAACAGGTTGATGCTACTTTGCTCAATCAGAGACAGAACATGCATGGCTACGTCTATGAAGCTGTCTGTCAAATCATGTTGGATGAAGATAGACCCATTGACTCGTTTTAGTGCTCGTTTGATGAATTTGTTAAATTCATCCAATTGCGATGATTTTCTTGCTACTGTTTCTTCAACCTTTGTATTCTGCTGCTTCTGAGATGGCTCATCCTGGTTGTAGAAGTCTTTTTGTTCAATCATTTCAATCTGTTCAATTCTCTGCTTCTTGATCAACTCATCAATTGAAGAAGTCTTCTCCCTCTGGACATCAATTTCATTCACAATCTCAATAGTGTCATCATTGAATTGGTGATCCTGATACTCCAATTCTCGCTCATTCTTATTGATCAATAAATAATCAGTACAAAGTGGATCAGCTGGGAGATAGAACTTCTGCTCTAGTGAGTATGATGTCAGGTACAGTAGTGTGGTACCATTGTCGAAGGTGAATTCATAGTTGATCCATCCCAGTCCAGCTCCAGATGAAGTTGTTTTGATCGTAATGTTGAATAGGCGAATCTTCTCATGCAAATTAACAAAGACAACTTTTGATTTGAACAGTCTCAAATCAATGTCATCGATGCAATGGAGACTTGTTCCATCTTCTACTTCTTCATCGTCGTAGTTGTACTGCATAGCCATGTGTTCCTCATAAAGAACCAGAATTTGGTAATAAATTGGCTTTGTAATGTATATGCGCCTAACACTGGTGCATAAGAGGACGCCGATGTCTGTTTTGGTGACAAAGAGGCTGTCAAATGCATCTTGGAGGTCGCGAACCAGGAACTTAATGCTCTTCCGAGGCGCATTAAATGTAGGAAATTTAAAGTTTTTGCCGTACAACTTGGCTGTGAAGTCAAGCAGACACCTTGTGCCTCCATCTGACATCGTGTAGAATGATCGATGATCAATGGTGTGTCTGTTAAACTGTGCCATGTTGGGTTAAAAGTTTTCGTTTAGTTTATCTGATAAACCCAGTTTAAGAGGCTGTTTTTTGCTACTATTTACTAGAATGGATTCAGGCTGGCCGATAGTTGATTCGTATGACGGCCTTCTTGCCCTTTGGAATCTTTGGATACTTTGATGGGTCGCACTTCCTTTTCTTCTTCTTTTCTGCCTTCTTCTTTTCTTCCTCTTTCGTTAGTTTCTTCAATTCCTGTACAATTGATTTGCTTCCTGGTGTTTTGTCCAGTTGCTTCTCAGCCTTACTTGCGTATTGATCGTATTCACTTGATAGATCAACCAATGTCCCTGGAATACTGCTTTTATCAGAAGCCTGTGACTTGCTACTGCTATCTGATGATTCGGTTGATGACGACTCTCCAGCAGCAACTGGCTCTGTTGCGACTTCTGCAGTCTGCATCAAGGTGATCAATAGGTACAACATGGGGAGTATTGTTTATCTCTATTTATATTTGTAATATTTCATACTGATTTATTACCTGATCAAACAATATGGTGGAATATTTGTAAAACCGTAACTAACGCCTACAACCAAGTATTACTATGAAATACGCTTATTAACCCATATGCATTTTTCTTCATTCAACGAGAACTACCTAAAAAACAATCTCGATAGCGAAAACAAGGAAGAGTGCATCATGCAGCTTACTAAGCAGATTGAGGAGAAGGAGGCTGAGATGTACGACGAGCTGAACACAGGATACCTCTCAGTGATAAACAAGTGCTCTAAGTTAGAGAGTCTCACAAATTACATGCAAAACATTCAGGTGGCCAACACTGAGTTCGGGAATGTGACAAACGAGCTGATTCTAAGGACATCAAACATGTCCGATGAGCGAGCAACCATCAGCGATGCCATCTCAAGGATTGAGGAAGTGAAACATGAGTTCAAAATTGTGCAGAATTTTATCGCAAAAAGAAACAAATTTCCAAACTTGAAATTCAACAACAAGGAATCCAAGGTCTCGTATTTTCACGCAGTTGAATCACTGATGGGAATGAAGAACATGTTGGAGTATTTCAAGAAGTACAACTTCTTTATGCCACTGAATCAGGTTTATAGGGACTTCTATACACAATTTATTATGAATGTTAAGGAAAACATCAATGACTGGCTCGAGAACATTCCATATGTAGAGATAGGCGGAGATGTGAAGGTGCAGACATACAGGAACAGTGTATTCGACAGCTTCGATGCGTATAGATCAAAATTGGTTGGAAAACAGTTTTTGAAAATACATTATGCAGCAAGAGAATTGAGCATCGAGCCATTGGTTGTGGAAACGATCAACAACAAGCGCCTTGATCTTGGATTTGCATTTGAACGTGGAATGTACAAGGCAGAAAAGAAGAAGGGGACTGTTTCTAGTTTATTGGAGACTACGACAAATAACTCAGAAGAGCCACCAAATCAACGAGATATAGAAGTAGAGCACCCAAAGAACATTGCAAAGGATAAAGAGAGCACAGAAGAAGAATTCATCAAAATCAATCAACCTAGGCCAATTAAGATACAAAC